GGGTGGTAGCACCTGTTAGGGTCCTAGCTATGGGCAAATAGTGAATACCACCCCAACAAAAACAAAACATTATGGCAGTATAAAAATACATTTTTATAATAAAAATACCAACAATACATTTTTATATAAACAAATTACCAACAATACATATGTATAGTAGAATTACGAACAATACATCTTATAGCAAAATGACCAATAATGCATTTTACCTTTAGTTGAAGACATACAATTGCATTTAAAATATATTTAGTTGAAGCCATAAAATAGTGTTTAAAATATTTAGATTTCAGCATTAAATAAGCCATGGAGGTTGATATGCTACTAAACAAAATCAACCAACCAACAATTTATGATTTAAAATTTATTTGTATTTATTTTTAATTTAGAGCACCTTCATAACATATGCTACAGGCTCTGCACTAGTTGGATATGGACCTTAATCTGTTGGATTAGGTTCAGGCTCAGGCTCAGGCTCAGGCTCAGGCTCAGGCTCAGGCTCAGGTTCTGACTGGCTCATGTCAGACAAATGTATGTCCATCACAAGTCTCTAGATTTCTCCTCAAAACAATTCTGGGTGACTTGGGCCTCATGACATGGTGCATTATTCTGATGAAATATGAAATAACCCATAATTGTTAGGTTACATGGAGTCCATGTCCATAAATAGGTGCAAATGGTCTTGGCACAATGCAACATAGCCATAATCAATCAATGACATGTTTAGCTGGACCAGTGGACCCAACCTATGCCATATAAACACAGCTTACACTATTATGGAATCACCACCACTATGTACATTAATAACTGGAGTCCATGGCTTGATTGAGTTTGCACCATACCTAAACCCTAACATCAGCTTAAAACAACTAAAACCACAATTCATTGGACCATGCTACATGTTGCCAGTCCTCCTGGGTCCAGTTAGTGATGTCAAAATTTGGGTGAGGCACTGTGTTTGGCATCATGCTGTTAACAGTTACAACTTAGTAGGTCTTCTGCGCCTGTATCCAATAGAAGTTAAAGAACATGGAAATGATCTTCTTGATATGCATTTAGCATACCTTTCTTTGAATGTGGATGGGACTTGAGACAGCATATATATATATATATATATATATATATATATATATATATATATATATATATATATATATATATATACATACATACACATATATATATATATACATATCCAAATAAGAGAAAGAAAAGATGGAGTAAAAATGCACAGTTCATAGCATTATTTACTTTTTAAAAAAGCATTTTTATCCCAAGTTATCTACCATTGCCTGAGGAAGTACAGTCTTAGTACTGAAACATGAAAGCTTTTGTGTAGCGATGTAAAATGTTTTTATTGCAATCTATTATAATAAAAATATTATAATATAGAAAAAGTTTACTTGTGACACGTTCTGTCCTTTATTGGACTAAATTTGTTATGCTGGTATAACTACATGTGCACACGAATGAGGGGTGCTGGGAATTTAAAATTTTTTTTTATCTAGCTGAATTCATTTAGAGATTTTTCTTTTTATTTCCATCACTGTGATATTAGACAATCTGCCAGGAATGGTGAAATGTTGTAAGAGCCAGGGTGCAAATTTACTGTAGATGACCTTGTGATCAAAGCACTCTATACACATTTACATCATAGTGAATTATTTCTCCTTTGATCAGAGTAGCATTTTTTACAGCAGAATTGTGGTCAGACTCATCATTTTGGGGAACCAACTTACAACCAGCTCTTACAGCATTTCACCATCCCTGGAAGATCTTTTAATATCACAGTGGGGGTACCTACTAACAAAAGTGGTGGGAAAAAAAGAAAGGAACTCTAAATGAATTCACCTAGATATGAAAAAATTCTAAAATTCTCAGTACCCTTTGTTCATGAATATATGTAGTCATACCAACATAACAAATTTAGTTTGATGAAGTCCCGAAGGATGAAATACATCACAAGTAAACATTTTCCACTTTGTCATACAATTTCCACAATACTGTTCTTTATATATAAAAATATATATCATTATCTCTCTCTCTCTCTCTCACTATATATATATATATATATATATATATATATATATATTAGCACTACCACCCAACACAAATGGCCTGAAAATTGTTATCAAGCATGAAACAGACTGTCAAAAATAAATATAACATATCTTAAAACTATACTTATCATATATATATATATATATATATATATATATATATATATATATATATATATATATATATGTATGTATATATATGTATATGTATATATATAGAATGTACAATTTATATATATTATTATTTCAAACATTTGTCACTTTACTGCAGTACTGAAGGTTTCATTAAGCCTTATGGATGTGCAGTGGATGTAATGGATAGCATCTTGGAAATTGAATAGCTGAGTTTGAATTCCAATCAGGTTTGTTACATTTACTTACATTCAAATACCCTTGGGAAAGTTATGATTCCATCTACTCTCCACAACTATCTGAAAAAATCATTGTTATTCTCAAAATATTTGTTAATTTAATATTCACTCACAAAAAAGAATTATTCTTACAAATGAAAATATGTTTGGCTTTAAATAAACCACAAATGAGAAGCCATGAAAAACAAATCAATCAATCACTAAGTTTTCTAAGACATGGGCAGTAATGGACCTTATCCTGCCTTTGTAGCTGATAACATTTTGGCAGAGGATTTGAATTCAGAGTTGTCTTTCTTCAAGACTGGTTGCCCTATCAATGCTAAAGAATTCAGTCTGTTCTACTATTTTAGCCATAGCCAGAAGGAGAAGAGATGGATTCATACTTTTTCTAAGGTAAATAGTGAAAAATGAATGCAACAATACTGGTTGGAAATTCAATTTTTTTAAATATTATTTCACTTAAACATTTCATTTTTGATAATTTTTTATTCAAATATTTATTTCTGATTATCATTTATTTTAATCTTTCTTTATCTTTCATCAGACCAGATTACATAATCATGTATTCTTTATAATTAAAGATTTCATATATTTGTAGATGGCGCCAATCTTTTGTGTATGTAATGTATTTCTCACTTTTTATTTTCAAGAAGTTATTTCTTTATCTTTATTTAAAAATGGAATTAATAATAATTTTAAAGACTTAAATCAATAGTTAATTTCTATTTCACTGTTACATATCTAAGAAGCTTAACGCTAAAGAATATTTTCATACTTAATATGGGAAAATTAGAGACTCCCCATATGAGTCATAACAGAGAAACAAAGGATGAGACAATTGAACAGTTTAAAAAGCATTATAAAATAAAAATGAGAAGAGAGAATTGCTAAACATATTCCTTTAGCATTCAATGGCATTAGGGACAAAGTCTGAATACATGTATCTGTCTGAAATTGGTTAAAACACTTATCTGAAGTTGATCATATCTCTTCTTCCAATGTCTGCTTATCGATGCATTATTCAGGTTTGTTTGTCCTTTGGAGTAGGCTAAAATGTGTCCTTTCACCATCAAGCCTCACTACTTTGGCATTCAAATCCATTTGGTGCCTAAATTTGGGTCTTATCCATTATTATCAGCTAAATGGACTCATCTTCCCTATCAGGGATCTTATCAACCAAGGGGAGATAACCTATATTTTTCATATTAATGCTCTTTCACATTTTGCAAAGCTGACTATTGATCAATTTACCAAAAAATGTTTCAAAGATAAATTAATGACATAGTCCCATTTTCTCCAGATACTAATATGAAAATTCTAGTCCATCAATAAAATAGATACATATGAGAATGGAAAACAATATTCATGCAAAGAAGATCTCCAAAACAAGAAAAGCATGTTAGCATTAAAACAGTTGAAAAGTTTAAAAAAAATCAATGAATAAAAGAAATATGAAAGTTATGGAATATCAAGGAATCTAAATTAACATGCAAATAATAAAGTAATAATTTATCCACGTACAGAGAGTTCCAAAAATCACATTACCATTGATAACCTTGTAAATTTTATTTTTACCAAATGGAATCATGTTTCTGTATTTGGCAATATATTATTAAAACATTTTATAGGTCAAATTATGGAAGATCATGTCATGCAGATTGTCTCTGGTTGCTATTTCACAAATGTATGTTTTCTGCCAATTGTCGCGTGACTTTTGAAACACTCTGTATATAGAATATTGTGTTAATCAAATATACATTTCTATGGCCTTTTCAATTTATTTATAAATAAGAATTTGTTACACTTAGTTTGATAGCACAATAAAACTGACATCTCCAAAAAAAAGTTTTTAGCAATGTTTTTTTTTTTTTTAAATAAGAAATGGTATTATAAGCTGAAATTTATGTGATATATTTTTCCAATAAATATCAGTATATCTTGAAAAATTTACTGACATTATTTGGTGAAAATGTTAACTTGTATAATAAATTCTGTACATGCTGCTCTTTAAGTCATGCTTCAAAAGATAATTTATATTTTATAAACAGTCATTCTTATTTTAGTATACATTATTTTATTAGTATAACTTGAGAATAATAAATGTCATCATTTTAGTTATATGATTCTTTTTTTTAATTAATAATTTAAATTAATAATTTGTTTTTTTCTGCTGTGCTGACATTTTAAAAAATAGCTCTAAACAAATAATTTAAATTTCGTTTTAAAACTAGCTATTATTTTATCGCTTTTTTTTAATATCATGAAACATTAAATTAAAAGATAGTGCTAATTAGTTAAAGAATCTGGTCAAAGTGTATGTCTTTCTGCAATGAACCAAATTTCATTTTTTAAAATTAATTATGTAAATGAAATTGAACTAAATTAATATTGTGCTTTAAATTTTTCCTACGATTCTTATAATTTATCATTTCCAGAAGGAGAAATCTGAAGTTATGCTGGCTTAGAATACTAAAACATACTAGAAAAGTGGAGTCATATTTCAATAAAGGATGTTAGAGAACGTAATATAGTTGTCTTAACTCTCTAAAAGTGAAACCACAAATAAGTGTTGATGATGGCGGCAAATGATCAATGGCTCTACCGTGGAGAAGGGAATATAAATATAGTTCTCGCTGATACAAAGGTAAGAGCATAAAATATTTTTTCTAACACATGAAGTGAACAATACAACATAGTATTACAAAATACATAGTTTTGTCATTTTAAAATCTATCTATTTCTTGTTGGTTGGGCGTATCCAGACATCGTGTGGCACGAGAAAGTGATATTTCTTCAGATTTAAAGCTAATTTCATGTTTTTGGCACTCGAGTTCTAAGCCTGGAACCAGAAGGTTCTGGCTATGAAAAAAATATTCGTATTGAACTAAAATCGAATTATTTTTCAATCGCATTTAACGAATTACCAAACAAAAAATGTAGTTTAAGTTTTCATAAGTCGAGTGATTCATGTGTTGTTTTTGTTTAACAACAGAACATTCTAAATTGAGAATCTGAGGTGATTCATTTGTCACTACAAATCAATACCTCGTTTTAAATAATAGTACCATTAAAGAAAAAATATTTTTTTAACCCAACATTAAGGATTCTCCTTTGAAAACAGTAAGTCAACCAGATTAGATATTTTTAGCATAAAATATAAAATTATGGCATATTTTTTTTAATTGAGATTTTTCGTCAAAAACCATAAAATATTTGTTATTTGTAAGTTTATTAATGAAAACAACTTGTGCCTCAATAAATCTTCCATTTTAATTTTATGAGTTGGAAACCTAAGATAATTGACTGTTTAGGAATTATTTTTCATTTCGTGTTATTGCAGTATTTTATCTTACTTAGTGCTTAATAAAAGCAATGCAATTGGATTTTTTTTTCAATTCGATTAAATTTGGAAACAATGATCCAGTAGAGCAACTGGATTGTTTTAAACAATAGTTGTTATTAAATAAACACTTAAAAGTAAAACAGTATTTAATTCACTTCACCTGTGGCTCTTTCTCTAGTCTATTATTGCTTAAAGAATAAAGATTGGTGTTGAAATTTAACTTAATTCTTAGTTAGCAATGACATTTTTACAGTACTAAATTACAAAAGAATCTAGCGAAAATGACAAGGAGAATAATAACTTTTTGGATTCACATCGTTGCAATAATTCTAATCTAGTACAATGACTTGGGCACGTGTTCACTTTAGTTTTAATAATGTAATTAGTAATTTAGTATTTGATAATCTTAGTTTTCCGCTAATAAATGTTAGTTAAGTCTTTACTCTTTAACAATATGATTATTAGTGTTCATCGAATTTGAAAAGAAATTCTGCTATAATTCATACTTACCAACATTACAATAATAAATCTTACCCTTTATGACTCCCTCAACCTATTTTCTGCCTTCTTTTTTTTAAAAGAAGTAACTCGCTTTTTAATTACATTTTTGTTTCCCTAAACTGTATTTAAAATCTAACGTAAGAAAACGTGGTTATTATTTTCTGTTTAGCGAGATCTTCATTATTTACTTTCAAAGTAATTTTGTTACTATCAAACAACTTTAAAAAATTTAACAGGCTGCATAGTGGATATGTTCTTTGAATTTTTGCAACATTCCTTTTTTTTTTTGTTTTACTTTACTAACTAAAAATAAAAAAATTTTTACTTTAATAACTAAAAATTTGTTTTTTACTTTACTAGCTAAATAAGCAAGTAAAACTAAAAAAAAAAAATTAACTTTTGACCAGGCGCATTCAGGATCATTTTGGTTGGGATCCTTTCTAAATGGACAATAACACCAATAACCAGCAAATCAAATGTCATTCAAAAAATGCAAATGTGTATTATTATTAATTTCTTAACCGATTTTTTTTACTTGCCGTCGTTATTTGTTTGTTGTTTGTTTTTTTAGTTGTAGGTTGTCAGAATTTCTAAAGAATAAAAAGGAAGATTGCCATTGCATTTTAAATTCATTTTTATATTTTTCAATTTTATTGTTTTTTTTTATCTTATTTTTGTCACTTTATACAACGATCTTTCTTTTTTTTTTAATTTTATATTCTACAACTGTTAAGTAATGAGCGTGGATCAGAAATGATGAATTAATTAATTAATCTCAGACGAGGTATCAACTTGCTTTGCATATCCTTAGCAGCCTGTCTGGCATGGACGAAGCCTTACCAATAAGGCTGCAAAAGCTAATCGGCAGGTTTCATTTAAAATTAGTATAGTTACACTCTTTGTAGCGAAAAATATCAGTCTTGTTTGAGACATTTTTTAAAATCTTTTATAATTTTATCTTTATTCAAACTGGGACGAAGGATAGTTTTTTTTTATATAACTCAGTAAGACTCATCATAGTTGTTTTTTTTTAAGAAATTTGTGTTGCACACCTTAACAGCAATTTACCATAAAAGTACTTGAGCTACCTCTATCTTGTCAGCCAGTGAGATTAATTTGGCTATTCTGTAAAATAAATTATCTACCACTTAGATGAGATCTAACCTGTCAGAGTTAACCTTCTTTCTAGCCCATTGTAGACCTTGGTCCTTGACTATTTCTTATTACACTACAGTCAAAAGCCTCTGAGCCTTGTCAAAGTCTTTTTTACCTTTTGTGTAAAAGAAACAATTGAATAATTTTATTTTGATCCTTATAAGGGCAGGTTCCAGTTTTTGTAATCTGTAATAGTTAATGATTGTCATTTGGGGGATATTTTAATATTGTTACAGTAAATTGTCATCACTTAAAATAAGTGCTAGATTTTTAGCAGTGTTTAACAAGTTAGTATTGCTAATTAAATTAAATAAGAGTTCAATTCTCATTAGGCACCCCATTATTACAATCAAGTATGAGACCAAGTATGTTTTAAAAATATACAAAGTAACAACTGTTTGCAATTATCCAACGCTTTGTGTAGATTACTTATTTAGTTCCTTACTCAATAATTCAAAAATTATATTCTCAGCATCCTTCTGTAGAACCACATCCCTGCTGCTTGAAGTCTCCTCTTCATCTGTGAGGAAACTGTCCAGCATTCACTGTGGCTGTATTGCTTTCAGTATAGATGGATTAATATTACATCATAGTCTAGCACACCTTTCTTTCTGTTATGGTGAAACACACCTATTCTATAGTTAATAGACTCTCCCACCTAATATAAGTAGGAGTAGTAAGAGAAACGAGGATCAGTTGATGTCGGACAACAGTAGTCGACAGTTAGTCGAATATGAAGGTAGTCAGCGACCACAACATGATTACTCTGCGTAATACCTATTATATCAAGTTCCTAACGTTTTGTACATCAAACCTATTTAGGACCGATTTAGTACAAATACAAGCCTCCACTGCAAAATAACTCCACAACAACTTTATACGACAAAGGATTCGCTGGTACGGATGAAGAAAAATTCGGGAGAGTGTGCATTATCTAGCATGACAAAAGTCTAAAAAAAAACTTGGCAAAGTTTTTGCAAGCCAAGACATCAACTTAGTGACAAAAAAGTCTGTCGTATTCTGAACTGAGAAAAGAATTTTTTTTTTTTCCGAATGATACAGTTTGACTCAAATAGGTCACGAATTGTAAATTTGTAGGATCCCCTCCCCACAGTATTTAGGCATTGTGTAAACTTTTTTTTTTGGTGGAGAAATGCAAAAGTATATTTCTGAATTTTTAAGTTCCAGTCGGAACAACAGATGACAATTTAGAGCAACAAAAATTTTCCAGATGCAGCTACAGGAGGAAACTTTAATAGACAAATGCAATTCCAACAAAAAATGGAACAGATGCATAGGGAGTTTCAAAAACAAAATTTGGAAATAACTGAGAAGAGGAAAGAGAAAATCTACAAAATGATTCTTTATCCAGAGAATATAATATGAAATTCAATTGAAATATTCACGACAGTCCAGATGAAGAGATAACTTTTGAGTATTATAAAAATATACGGACGTTCATGTGGTCTGAATTCCAAATTGCAGATTATCATGCAAAAAGTGAAATACCAGAGAAAAATAAATAAAAAAATCTAACCATGTTTTGCTTAAAAAAAACTTCACTAGTACAGATATTGCAATTTTAGGAATAAAAAATGTTTCAACTTTTAAAAGAGTAGGTCATAAAAGCTCACACTGCAGGTCAAAAAATAAAGACAATAAAATAAGAAAATTAAAGTCCAACGTTGTTATTTGGAATAACCAGAAAATTTGTTACCATCGAAAATAAAGTAATAAAAAAATAAAAATGCAACTCTGGACACTGGTTCCGACCTATCTATCATAAATTTGCATATGTGGAAGAAGTTGGGAAACCAATATTAATGAAGACAAATAAAATCACGAGGTCAGTGAAGGGAGAAAAATACAATTTATTGGCAAATTTGTTACAAACGTCATGTTGAATAAAAAAAAACGTAAAAGCTAAACTATTTGTCATAGAAAATACCATGAACTTATTTGGTATTTTTGATAAATAGAATTCCAATTATGGGATCTACCGATAAATTCCTTCTGTTACAAAGTAGAAAGTTTAAATCTAGGTGCAAAAATTAATAAAGAAACTTAAGGAAACATTTCCTACTGTTTTTTTCTCCAGGGTTGGGAACGTGATACCAAGATGGAGGCAAAATTCCAGCTAAAAAGAAAATGCTCAGGCAGTTTCAAAAAATTTAAAGGAATGTGATTTTTGCCTCAATTGAACAGATAGATAAAGAATTGGACAGATTAGAGAAAACGTATACTTAAAAAAAAATTGAGTATATGAATGGGCATCACCGACAGTATACGTTTCTGAAAAGTCTAAAAGAAATTCGTGTTTGTGCTTAATTTCTTGACAGGTTTAAACGTGACACTCAAAGACTATAATTATCCTCTACCAACAGTGGAAGAAATATTTAACATAGCTAATGGAGCCACAATATTTTCAAGATAGAACTCTCAGTGACACATATCTGCAAATACCAGAAGAAAAAAAAATGTCAAAACTTTTTGTATAAACACACATTGGGGTCTGTATAAATTTAACGGACTACCTTTTTTATATTAATTTTTAACTACCCCATTTTCCAACAAGTAATGGATTCGATGTTGGGTGGTCTAGATTTTGCTGTAAGTGTATCTGACATTGACATCCTCTGAGAAGT